AAAATGCAATACATACCAATTGAATTTAAAAATATTCAAATTTTTTGTGTCTTTTAATCCTGATTAAGTGCAATTGAAAAACAAAAGATAAAAGTTTTATCTGTTATAAATTGGAATAATTTTTAACGAAAATTTACCCGTGTGAGCTTTTTGTCGAGGCAAATTGTATGTATATAAATAAATTCACGTGACCAGCTTTTCATATGTACGCATCGGCTATAAGTATAAACATTTGAAAATTTATCATAGCTCGATTAGCATGTTTGTCCGAACAATATTTATCAGCCGGGCAACCGAGACATTTTCCCATCAAGATAATGAAAAAAAGCATGATTGTTTCTGAAACGTTGTTTCATCATGCAATACCAAAATTGGTCAAAAATAAAACATTAACAAAATATTAAGCGGATAAAACGTATTTGTTCGATTTTCACATCGAAAATCTCACAAAGATTTACCACTGTTTCGTGGTTCATAAACCCAGATACATCAAGACCTTCAACTTTATCAATTTATACTTTCAACATGGACGAGAAAGTACGGTTGTGTGATTGAGTAATACGATAAATGTAATCAAAGATTCAATCTATTAATTTTATTTAAATAATCCAAGTAGCAATAAAAGGAGAAAAAATGGAAAATTATGTGGAAAAACTGAAATAATTTCTTTTAAAATTAAGTTAGGATTTAATTTCGTTTCCAATTGAGAACAAACATTTTCCGATTGTGTATTTAAAAGCTTTCTAAAAGTTTAACAATATGAATCGAGATCGTTTATTTATTTCACTTTTACATCCAAGCGGATGTTAAACGTCAGACTTATATAATGACTATAAAATAAACCCTTGGACATATCAATCAAGATCAATTTACACAGTAGATATCGTAAAACTTCATAACGACTATTTTATAATTCTCGCAGCAATATTTTATTTGCAACAACTTACAAGACGTCTGTATTTTGGACGACGAATATGATCAGGAAATGGTATTTATGGTAAGAATTTAACAGAGATTCATAGTTCATAAATTCAAAAACTTCAAGAAGAAATTTCACATTTACCACCGTTTCGTGGTTCATAAACCAGAGATTCAAAGAGGAAATCTCACAAAAATTTACCACCATTTCGTGGTGCATAAACCCAGATACTTCAAGGAGAATCCTCACAAAAATTTACCACCGTTTCGTGGTTCATAAACCAGAGATTCAAAGAGGAAATCTCACAAAAATTTACCATCATTTCGTGGTGCATAAACCCCTGATACTTCAAGGAGAATCCTCACAAAAATTTACCATCATTTTTTTAAAAGTAAATCAAAATTAGTATAAATGGAAGACGGTAAGATGATTATCGATCTTATTAAAGTAAATATTTTTTCTTTCTCTAACAAAATTTATCGGGAAAAATCAATTGCTACTCCTAGGAGATTGTGTTGGCGTAATAATAAAATGTCTTGTGTTTTAAGTTATCGCAATAATCAAGAAGCACAAAATCCAATTTGAATTACTAATTTATGACCAGTAGTTAGTTATAAGTTTCAAAAAATGAACCTTTTTGCGCATCGTTAAAAATTGCAAACAAATAATGATACACTTATCTCGTATGATCAATGATAAGCCGAAGTTTTATTATCTTACGACGCTGAAGGACCCACTAAAGAGTTTCACAGGACATTTCTGATCTTAATGGATCAGAAATCTTATCTTTTTGAATAAATCCAAAATGTTTCAATTCAGCCAAGTTTCCTGTTGTATGACCAAGATTTCTTTAATAATAAATTAACTTAAATAATTAATATATTTTCATGAGAACGTCGTACATTAAAATAGTTCCAATTTTGATCCGTTTTTCCTCATTTGTTCTCGACGTCCTGGGTTTACTGAAGACGTCTCTAGTTTGTATTGTGTGACGAAATATTTGTCTAGTAAATAAATAACACAACTAGACGTTACTATTTTCCAAATAGATAAGAAAATCGTCGCTACGACGTAGACAATTACGTTTCAGGCATTCATGAACCCAGAACTCATCAATGGAGGAAAATGCAACGAAACGATTTTTGTATAATGGAAAATCAAGACACCAAGGAAGAAGAAAATATGAATAATTAACTGAAATAGGTAATTTGGTCAATTAGACCGCTAAACATAAATGGATTTCTTAAGAAATGTTAATGGAAAATTTCTTTAATTATAATACTTTCAATGGCTGAAATTTGAAAATTTTTAACAGTCAATGGCCCATCAAATCAAATCAAATTTTCATTGCATTAAAATTTTACAATTATTTTAGCAAAACGTTACGCACTAAAACAATTACGAAATCAGTAATAAATTAAAAACATTTAAATATATAGTTGATAACATTTTTTAACATATTTTATAAACATATATTTTACTGTAATGCAATTGTCTAAAGAACCATTCATACAAGATATAAAAAATATTATATCATATTGAAAAACATACAAAACTCTAGTTTGAGGTAATCCTTAATCTTCCTCTCAAGCATTTTTGAGTGTAAACAAAACAATTATATTGATAAGGAAATTATTGTAAAATTTAAACGCCCAATAATTAAGAATGTTACATGAATTAATTCACTAATTTCGTGGTCCGCTTGACCAATTAATACATTACAATTAATTAAGGTTTTTGGTTGAGATGAAAAAAAGTCAATGGCACGAGCGGGATTCGAACCCACAACCTTCGGCTAGATCCGCCGCTGCTCTACTACCTGAGCTATCGTGACCTCGATCCACTCGGACATCAACTCCCCATCTCAACCCCATTCGGCGTATCTAGCCGAAGGTCGTGGGTTTGAATCCCTCTCGTGCCATTAACTTTTTTTCATCTCAACTAAAAACCTTAATTAATCGTTACATGAATCATTCAATCTCATCCTAGGGAGTATTATTAAGTATCCTTTCCCAGTATTTTAGTTATGCCCAACCTTTACATTACGTATTTACTTACTTAATGGGTCAGTAATAATTAAAAAATATAAACAAGGAAATTTGAGTTTTAAACCAACTTTTAAATGCATTTCGACAGTTGGCATCATACTTAATGGCTTTCTTTGCCTGGAGAAAATTAAATTAGATGAAGCTGTGTGACATAATTCATTATTTCACAGTTCATAAACCCAGAGAATCCAAAAAGAAATCTCAAAAAATTTACCATTATTTCCTATTTGAAACTCCAGGGACCATAAGAGGAAATCTCACTTAATTTCATCATCACTTCCTGGTTCATAAACCATGGCAGTTCAAGAAGAAATCTCACAAAAAATTTGCCATTTCGAGGTGCATCAACCAAAGAAATCTCACAACAAATTACCACCGTTCCATGGTTCATCAAAACCAGGGTTTACAAGAGGAAACCTCACAGAGATTGCCCATAAATACTTGGTTCACAAACACAGAGCTCCAAGGAAGAAATATCACAAAAATTCACCATCATTTCATAGTCCCTATACACAGCGACTTCAAGAAGAAATATTACAAAATTCACCATCATTTTATGGTTCACAAAACCAGAGATTCCAAGAAGAAATTTCATAAAAATTCGCCATCGTTTCTTGGTTCATAAAACCAAAGATTACAAGAGGAAAACTCACAGAGATGACCACAATTTCTTGTTTCCTACACAAAGTGACTTCAAGAAGATATATTACAAAAATTCACCATCACTTCATGATTTATAAACCCACAGATTATAAGAGAAAAACTCATAGAGAATACCACAATTTCTTGGTTCCTATATACAGTGACTTCAAGAAGAAATATTACAAAAATTCACCATCATTTTATGGTCCACAAACCCAGAGATTCCAAGAAGAAATATAAAAATTCACCATCATTTCATGGTCCCTATACACAGCGACTTCAAGAAGAAATATTAGAAAAATTCATCATCATTTTATGGTTGACAAACCCAGAGATTCAAAGAAGAAATTTCATAAAAATTCATCGTTTCTTGGTTCATAAAACCAGAGATTACAAGAGGAAAACTCACAGAGATTGACCACTATTTATTGCTACCTACACATAATGACTTCAAGAAGAAAAATTACAAAATTCACCATCATTTCGTGGTCCCTATACACAGCGACTTCAAGAAGAAATATTAGAAAAATTCACCATCATTTTATGGTTGACAAACCCAGAGATTCAAAGAAGAAATTTCATAAAAATTTACCATCGTTTCATGGTTCAAAAACCCAGAGATTCCAAAAAGAAATATCACAAAAATTCACTGTCATTTTATGGTTCACAAACCCAGAGATTCCAAAAAGAAATATCACAAGAATTTACTGACATTTTATGGTTCACAAACCCAGAGATTCCAAGAAGAAATATCATAAAAATTCACCATCATTTCATGGTTCATAAAACCAGAGATTTCAAGAAGAAACCTCACAGAGATTGGCCCCAATTTCTTGGTTCTTGTATACAGTGATTTCAAGAAGAAATATCACAAAATTCACCATCATTTCATGGTTCATAAACCCAAAGATTCCAAAAAGAAATATCACAAGAATTTACTGTCATTTCATGGTTCACAAATCCAGAGATTCCAAGATGAAATATCACAAAAATTCACCATCACTTCATGATTTATGAACCCACAGATTCCAAGTTGAAATATCACAAAAATTCCCCATCATTGTATGATTAATAAACCCAGAGATTCTAAGACGAAATATCACAAAAATTCACGATCATTCCATGATTCATAAAACCCGAGATTACATGAGGAAACCAATAGCAGTATACCAATAACAAAATTATTAAAAAAAGAATGTAAAAATAGAATTATAAACATAAAAATTAAATTCTATACCAAGAAAGACTTACAATACATATCAGACACAAGCCAACCACAAAAAATGGCAAAATGTTGGAAACAAATCCAACAAACTCAGTGAAAATAGACAGACCAGGATGAACTGAAATGATCAAACTATAGATAATTATAATAATTAAAAAACACTTACATAAAAATGGATCAAGGCGTTCCTTGAAGCTTTTTGTCCTGACTATGTTAACTCTTTCTTCTCCCCTTTGCCAATCATCACCTCTCTCCAAAAGGGTTTCCCACCTTGAACTGTCCCAAGGCTCGGAGAAAATTGTCTGAAATTTCAGACATGTTAGGAAAAAAAAATATATTAAATGTTTTTTAAAAGAAATGAACAAACCTGTGTATCATCATCACTGATGTGAGATTGGGTTGAAGCACCATTTTGTTGATTTGTGACATTATCATAAGCACTAACTCGAGAGCCACTGTTCCCTGATGAATCAGACTTGGCAGGGTCGTTACGCATCGCTAAAAGCTCTGTCTGAAGCCTCAACTCCGGACATCTATAAAATTTTTTTAAAATTTTTATTTGCTTGTTCAATTTATATTCACTTTAGGGTTTACCGTTCAGCTATAAGTTCTTGAATACTGATTCCTTTAGCACAAGGACTTTCATTATCCTGTTGTTCCAAAGAAGGGAATTTTCTATCTAATCCTTCTTCAGGGCTAGTGATGTCTTCTTGCTCTGAACCCGGATCTTCTTCATTTCCTAAAAAAACATAATGTTAGCTGAGGAATGCAACTAGTATAACAATAGTGATAGTACCTATGAATTCCCAGCTAGAATCTACAGCCCAGGAGTTCTCAGGAAGTGATTTTCCTTGAAATCTTTTCGAAATTTTAGGTTTTCCTTTACCTCTTTCCAAAATACCTATTCTCCTTCCAAGCCTTCTAGGACCAACTAAATTATCTACTGAAGATGAAAGACCAGTTAATGAAAGCTCCTCCTAGAAGAAAAAAAGTTTTAGTCTTGTATAAGATTTAAAATGTGAAAATGTCTTGTAATTACTTTAGAGTCTATCCTTTCTAAAATCCCTGGTGGTGCGTTAGAAGGCCATTGGAGAAGAGTTGCCGGGTCAGAATGTCTATTGCTTCTATGTACATTTCGATTCCTTCGCCTTGCTACTTCAAGTGCTGCTGTTTTGATGGCATCCGCAGGCTCACAATAAAATGGCGACGATTGTTTATTATTGCTTGGGGCCTGTTAAAATTGTTATTAGAAAAAAATATTTTTTGTCAATAAATAATAGATAACTTACAGTTTCAGTAGGTGTTTGGGGCTCTGATGGTGTGATGGGACTCGGATGTGGTGTGGAGGGAGCTGCGTTAAGGCTAGGCCTAGGCGCAGGGCAAGGTGGGATTCTGTCTAGTATATCAGGAACTTTTCTCACACCCTCATCAGGAGACATAAAAGGGCTAGATCTCGGTTTGAATGTGGTCATAGATTCTGGTCCCCAGATGTCCTCATAGTCGCTGACTTTGTCAGCGACGGAACTTCGGTAGTAGACAGTCGGAGATTCCAAAATATCAGATTCCTGATAATGCCTGGATTCTTTATGCCTTTTGCTTCTCCTGTGAGCTGGTTTTGAATCCGAAATCGGTGACATAAGAGAACTTTTCGTCTCGGAACCGGTCGGAGAGAAAACATTTCCAGGCAGAGGGTCTGAAACTGGTGACTTTATATTTGAGGTTTTGTTCGATTCTAGGGTCGCTGTTCCACTTGCCAAAGATGGCAAGCTCTCGCTATCACATAATGATGCTTGCTTTGAAGAATTCTATACCAAAACAGAAAAAGAATAAATAGACGGTCAAAACTAAAAACAGAAAAACAGATTGATAGTTACATCAAGCGGTAGCGGAGGAGAAGAAGTAGATGTTTCTCTCATGGAAAATGTTACAGTAGTTGTTACTGTGAAGTTTGGGGCTGGTTTAGACCATCTCGGAGGTGGTGGAGGAGGTGTTTTTGTGGGCACTACCCCTAGGGATGTTGGTGGGCTTGAAACTGATTTACAATCTGAAAATTAACGTGAGCCTCTTTACTTTTTATTTGTTTGAATAGAAAACGCAATCGCAAGCATCCAACAATTTCTGTACCTTATGCAAATAGCCAAAAGTACATGCCAAAAAATAAATAAAGAAAATAAAGAAAAAACAAAGAAAAAAAACATGCTTTTCTCTTGAAATTATATGAACCATTAAAAATGAAATATCTGAGATATAAATGTAAGTAAAATGCATTTAATGAGAATAGGAAAAGGGAATACACTTCAATATAATTTACAATATTAGTATCAAATACACTTCAATCAGCAGATTACAATATTTATTATATTACAATTAATTAAGGTTTTTTAGTTGAGATAAAAACGTCAATGGCACGAGCGGGATTCGAACCCACGATCTTCAGCTAGATACGCCGCTGCTCTACCACTTGAGCTATCGTTACCTCGATCCACTCGGACACTAACTTCTCTTCTCAACTCAACCTTTTGAATTTTCCCTCCTTTTTGCCATTTTTCAAATGTCGTGTAATCGGATTGGATTCTCGACGACAAATGAAATGGCCACGGAGAGCTTTAGTGAAGTACACTTCATTTTAAATCATTAAATTCACTAATTTCGTGGTCCGCTTGACCAATTAATATATTACAATTATTACAATTTGAAAATTGGCAAAAAGGAGGGACAATTCAAAAGGTTGAATTGAGATGAGAAGTTAGTGTCCGAGTGGATCGAGGTCACAATAGCTCAAGTGGTAGAGCAGCGGCATATCTAGCCGAAGATCGTGGGTTCGAATCCCGCTCGTGCCATTGACGTTTTTATCTCAACTAAAAAACCTTAATTAATTGTAATATATTAATTGGTCAAGCGGACCACGAAATTAGTGAATTTATTATATTGTGCATTTTAAAAATATTACTGTGAGATCAAAATTAAACCTATTTACTTCATTTAACTATATATTTAGCTTATACTGGACTATGATATGGATTATATGGATTATGAAATTAATTTTTTACTTGCAATAAATTGCAAAATCACTGTTGCAATTAAGCCAATGATCAAGGCAATACAGTCACATGCAATGTCTTTGGGAATGCAATAGCTAGCTAAATGACGAAAATTGAAGATTATATATTAACGAGGAAACTTACTTGAATTGTTGTTAGCCGATGTGCTTATGAGATTAAGCGTGTTAGGAGGTGTTGGCCTGGGTGCTCGCAGTGAGGGTAAGGATGCATGTGCTACAGGAGATTCGCAACTGTTTGAATTTGGACTCCCTGCACCAATAGAACCAAAAAAGGCAGTGGTCAGTTTCAGTAGGAACAACAAAAGGGGGAACATTTTTTTTTATCAGTTTCCTATTTTTTATCAGCAGAAAAAAAATTACGCTGTTCCACTATCTTTTCTGTCGCAGTTTTTGTTGTTTTTTCAAGCATGCTTTTAAAAGGAATTGTACTCACCAACTGACTCATTCGGTGGGGAGCCTTTAAAGGTAGAAAGAAGACTGTTGAGCTGAGCTTGATCGTTAAGAGGGGTCAAGTTGAGGACAATTGGGTCCATTTCACCTGTCGGGCTTCTACCTGGGTTATTGTTATTACCTGTCAAACAAGAAAAATATTTAAATAAAGATCTAATTATCTTGATAAATGTAATATTTACCGCTGCCAAAGCTGCTCAGACTGCTTGCCTGGCTACTCGGAAGCGAACTGTTGAGACCTGTAGTCGACTCAGAAACCTGCTGGGTCTGGGGTTCCGGTGTTATTTGTATAGGTCTTGGATTAGCCATTGGGTATCCCCAGAATTCTTAAAGGGAAATTTTTAACATGTTAAAATTGTTTTAATTGCAAGTTCATGGGGTTACTTTTATAAATACCTTGACCTAGAAGTGCAAGGGAAGAGAGTTGCTGTCGGTTTTTGGCATCTCGGATAGCTCGAGGTAGGGTTAATTGAACAGGAAGTTCATCACTGAAAAATAACCATTGACTTTTCAAGAAAATTATTGCTATTTCTTAAATGTAATGCAATAAATTATTAAAAGAAACATTAAAGAAGACATATTGTAAGACTTCTTCTTGGGGCATGAGAGGTGATGTATCTGCAGTTTGGTCATTTCTGTTCAGTTTGGTCAACCTATCCTCGCTGTTTTGGACTGTGGACATCACAGAATATAGCGAGAAGTTGAAACCCATCTGACAGGCCAAAACGATCAGAAATGACATTCCTATGTTGTAAATGTTATTCATATATGTTTTTATTCAAGCTTTACAATTTTTGTGACAAAAGACAATAGTAATATTGAAATGTTGAAATTACCAGCATTGAGCATAATGTGCAATTAGATCTGGAATGTTTGGAAACTTGTTTTCACTACTTTCAAGGCTGAGTTGGTTGTCAGGTCCAGCTTGGATCAAATAGTGTTCTATGTAAGGTCCTTTCCCGACTGGCAGCCTAACTGATATCGCCATCGTCGAAGATTGTGAAGACTGCCTAACTACAAAATTCTTAAAAAAAAAAAAGAAAAGATTATATCGATTTCAATTAAAAATAAACATGCGAGATTATTACCCCTTCTTCCTTGCCCTGGAGGAGATGGAAAGCCCCGGCTCTCTGGATGTCGGGCAGGAACCATACCGGGTGGCTTCGGATGAGACGTTCCATGAGGCCGATGCCACATGGCGTCTCTTCCTCGCACACACTACCACTAGATTCACGGGATGATTCCTCACCGCTATCCTGCTCCTTGCACACTCCATCGACCTGAAAAAACAAAAACTATTATAAAAAACCCAGTAATAATGAAGTTTTTTAATTTGACCAGTTAAAAAAGTATTTAACAATGCAATGAATGCCAGATTTGTCAAAAAATAATGTAGAATGTGGTCAAAGGAAATATTCCTTGACTTTATAATTTTAAAATAAAGATGAATCTAGTTCTGTGATAGATCTTGGACCGATGAAATGCCAAATTTTTTTTTTCTCTCTAGCTGTCAGATTGTTTCTTACAATTAGTAACCATGATAAGTTCGTTAGTTATTACAATAATTTCAATATGAAATTATAAATTTAAACAATTAGGATAAAAACTACAGATTGGTATAAAAGATTAATAGAAAGCCCTTACAAAGGAAATATTTTATGTGCAGTGTTTAATGACTGTTAATTAGTGATCATTTAGAGATCGTGAGATGCGGTCTGATGTGACGTAGGTTTAGAAAAACATTTTCCAATGTTTCGATCTTTATTGAGATCATCTTCAGGGCCTGGGATATATAAACATTGTTTACATTCAATTAATTAAGGTTTTTGGTTGAGATGAAAAAAAGTCAATGGCACGAGCGGGATTCGAACCCACGATCTTCGGCTTGATACGCCGCTGCTTTACCACTTGAGCTATCGTGACCTCGGTCCACTCGGACACAAATGTCCTATCTCAACCTCACCTTTTGAATTTTCCCTCCTTTTTGCCATTTTTCAATTTTTTTCGTGGGTTCGAATCCCGCTCGTGCCATTGACTTTTTTTATCTCAACTTAAAACCTTAATTAATTTTATGATATTAATTGGTCAAGCGGACCACGAAACTAGTGAATTGAATTGTTTACATTATACAAATACATGTAGGATGTGGAAAAAATGAATTTCTATCAATGTATAAATTCATTTTTTCACATAGTACATGTATTTGTATAATATAAACAATGTTTTAAAAAATTTAGTCTTAAAGTAAAAAAAATAAAGCCCCAGTCCCTGAAGATGATCTAAATAAAGATCAAAACATTGGCACGATTAAGAAAATGTTTTTCTGAAACCAGACCACATCCCACGATCTCCAAATAATCAGGAAATATTTAATTTCTTTCTAATGAACTAGGATAAAGGTACAATAAATTAGTGTGGTGACAAATCATTCAGGAATGAAATGCAAAAATTTAATTTTCAGCTCCTGCCAGATTATTTCTCATAATTAGTCATTGGCTGTTAAGATAAGTTGGTTTTCAACTTCAACGTCAATCAGTGTTTTTTTAATTAATTAATTTTTTTATGGTCTTCAACCACTATAGGTTTTTAAATTTTCAAAAAATAAATTAATTTTAAGCCTTTACAAAGGATGTGGCAGTAAGGAAATAATTGTCTGAACTAACTTGTAAGGAATTGAATTCACTAGTTTTCGTGGTGACCAATTAATATCTTTCAATTAATTAACATTTTTAGTTAAGATAAAAAAAGTCAGTGTCACGAGCGGGATTCGAACCCACGACCTTCGGCTAGATACGCCGCTGCTCTACCACTTGAGCTATCATGACCACTCAAGTGGTAGAGCAGTGGCGTATCTAGCCGAAGATTGTGGGTTCGAATCCCGTTCGTGACACTGACTTTTTTATTTCAACTAAAATCCTTAATTAAATGTAAGGAATTGACTTGGTTTTTAGTATACATAAACTAGACATTCAGCCAAAAAAATTTTAAAAAGAACTTTAACTACTTTTATGATTGGCTCCTTGAAATTTCCCAAATAAATATGTATTCAGTTGTTATTTTGTATTAAAATCTTATATATCTCAACCTTATTGGCGTTGAAACTATTGCAGTGATGCATTTTTGTTCTGTGGTGTTTAACAATTTATTTTGAAGTGTCTTTTTCATTTGTACGTTGGCCAGGCTATGAAAACTCCGATTTAAAATAAGCTGTTGTCGTCGGTTTTAAAATTGTAACAACACCTGTAAATTCATGATGAAAAGTGAAAATATTCGGATCAAGAGATGGCCAAACTTATCAGTGTAACACAGATTCCCTAATAAAAATGTCACCATAAAAACCTCCGTTTTATGGAATATTCCAGCCACACAAACCGTCCCCTTTTTGGATTGCAGGACCCCCTTTCAATTTTTTTATTACAACATGTAACTTTTAATTCCCCTATCTACTCGGGACAAAGTTTCAGCCTGATTAACCGACCAGTCCCACGAGGCCAATTAGATCTTTTTATCAAAGAGTTATGTACCCAAGTCCGGGCAATAAATGGCAGAGATAGGGAGCATCCGGATATCAGCTCACGGTAAAAATGGTGTTTCAGACGATTCAACCTCGTATCCACGAGAAAAAAGAAGCGGAAGAAATGGTTCGGAATGGAATCGAAGACCGGATAACATCTTTTGACTCAGCGAGAAATTTCTCACTTGAAATGTACCCCACTCTCCCCGTGATCTGTTACAAAACAAGCCGGCTGCGTGGGAAGAACTGGTCGAAGCGTTCACTCCCTTTCAAATGCTTTCTGCCGATTCCAGGCTTTATTTGGAACAATCGGAGGACGGCATTTTAATTCAGTTATACTCTCGTGATGAAAAACAATACAGCGCAGAACAAAACCAGGACTGTTCGTACATCAAAACATCTGCAGAATCATTTCAAATAGAATGATACAGAAATTTTTATAGTACACTTTATACCTTTTCTTTCTGATTACATTGGTAATCCCATTTCGGAAGTATTTTTCGACATTCGTCGTACTTTTTTTTTTAATAGAACTCCATCATCAAAGGTTCAATATCGATGAGTAGTTCCAACTGTTTATTAGTTTTTGGGGAAAATTTTCACTTACATTGTTAAGCACATTGGAAGCTTTATCGTTTCACTTACATTGTAAACAACACTTTAGTAATCTTATAATTTACATCTAATGAATTGAATGAAATAATTACATTAAATAATTTAATGAAAATAAAATAATGTAAACCAGCTAACATGAGGATGTATTCTTTTTTCTTTTTTTTTATTTCATTTTTGTTACGAGGGTTCGTAACAGCAGAGGTCATATAAATTCTCAGGGTGCCGGTGTTTTTGAAAAAAAATCCCATTTGTAAGTATGTCGGGTTCGAATGAAGGGCCGCTGGATTCGAACCCGGGACCTTCACCTTACAGCAAATAGCGCCGTGTCAACGCCTAAACCGTTGCGGCCACCGACGCCCCCTGTTTTTGTTATTATATACAGGTGTGTGTATGTGGGTTATTATATTATTATTACAAAAAAAGGAGTACATCTCATGTTAACTGGTTTTTATATAACTGGTTTATATATCTTATTTTTATTAAATGTAATTATTTCATTTAAAAGATGTTTTTCTTTCACTTAATATTATATTTAACAGGTATTTTTTCCCAGGAAATTACTAACGAGATGCCCTGCACAAATTGTTAGAATTTAGTATAAATAATAGTTTCATGTGCTTGTTTATTAAAGAAAAAATAAATAATAAAAAAAAAAGTTTGCCCGTTTTTCCCGTAGACGGTTGTCAACCATAGCCAGTGTGCTTTTATTTATTATTTTATTATTATTTCATTGATATTCAACCTTTGATACCATGTCTCATTAAACATTAATGATAGATTCACTAGTTTTCGTGGTCCGCTTAACCAATTAATATCTTTCAATTAATTAAGGTTTTTAGTTGAGGTAAAAAAGTCAGTGTCACGAGCGGGATTCGAACACACGATCTTCCCACCACTCGGACTTCCCAACTCAAAAGGTAGAGTTCTACCAACAGTCGTATTGGCAACTTCATTTTCCCGGACTGCAACGAGCACTGGGTCACTTATTGGGTCCTTCTTCACTCGAGGATTTATTGAATCCTGGCCAAAATGAAAATACTAAAAGCCTCTTCAAATTAAGGACAAAAATGCATCACTGCAAGAATTTCTCTATTAATAAGGATACGAGTTATAAGATTTTCATACAAAAGAACAACTGATTTGGGGTAATAAGGATACTAGGAAGCGGGGTTTGCACTCCCCAGGCACTGCAGCCTTCTGGCTTAATTGTACTTTCCCAGGTCCTCAGTTCAGTGCAATAGACTCAATCCTTCTCCTTAGAAGTATCAGATCATTGACTACCATTGATGCAATTTGATTCCTTAAGTTTTTTTCATATGTTAGGTTAAATCTCCATTGAGCTTTTGCTTCTCTTTCGAAGATGATATGGGTGGCTGTTTCCTCCTCCTCATTACATAATCTGCAGATGGGATCATCATTGTACATGCCCATGTTGTGTAAATGTTTTCTCAGATGCCAGGAGTCCTACCACACCTCTTAGTTTAGTCCTCTCCATTTGCGGCAGTGATTTTGCCAGTCTTGGTGAAGGTCGTTTCATCATAAGTGTCTACCGCAGCTAGAGTTTATCCACTTCTCCTTTTGTTTTGTTTGGATTCATTCTGCGATTGAGGATTCTATATTTCTTTTCGTTATCCCAAGGGAAGGTTCGGGGCCTTGTATGGTATTGCAGACCCTCCTCTGGCCAGTCTGTCTGCTTTCTCGTTACCCAAAACTCCCCTGTGCCCTGGCACCCAAGAATCATCAGGTTGTGTTTCCCCACGTTTTGTAGATTTTGGATGGATTCACTGACTAATTTTGATGTGATTTTTTTAAACGTGCTAATGCTTTAATGGCTGCTTGGCTATCAGATCTTATGAGGATTAAAGAAGAACTGAATGCACATTTCTTTGGAAAATATTTAGCTTAAGTATAATAAAAACTTAATCGATTCATGTTGTTGAACTGTCCCTCACTGAAGATGGCGCAATAACGAAACGCGTTTGAGTAGTTCAAAAAACCTGCGAGTCAAGACGGACCCAATAAATTGCAGCTTAACTTCACCGACTCGCAGACCAACACTCATCAATGTTTCCGGTTTTAAATTTTCGTCCGTGTAAATCTCGAGACCGGCACATTAACAAATAAAAAGCTGCACCTACCAATATGGCGTTG